GTCCACTCGACACAAGCTAAGTTATTTCAGGTCTAACATATGGTTCAATTTTATTTAAATAATTAGCTCTCGTGTAGGGAGGTCTTTAGCAGGGGGAGGACCCAGAGAAAACCAACGTGGTTGGGCGGGCGACTCTACTCCTTGTCACGTACCCGATCTTGGTTAGAAGACATATTAGTCAACTATATATACACCCAGTCATAGTAAAAATATTGAACAATTTTAGACAGATGTTCAATACATATGTTATACTCGTTATATACCCATGAATTTCATATAACATTTCTCTTCTCCACAGTCATCTATTCAACAATATACACATTAATTTCATTTGACATAATACGTGCACCAAGCTTGCACAATCACTAATATTTTCTGACAGCGCATATACAATATATACATTGATTTCATTTGACATATAACGTGCACAATCACTAATATTTCCTGACAGTGCATAATGAACAACAATATACACATTAATTTCATTTGACATAGTACGTACACCAAACTCGCACAATCACTAATATTCCCCGACAGCACATAATGAACAACGTGCACTAAACTAACACAATCACTAATATTTCCAGATAGCGCATAATGAACTCGGTGCACCAAACTCGCGCAAATACCAACATTTCCTAATGCGTAATATCATCAATCAACAATATTTCCCGATTGCGCATAAGGAACAAACCCGGATTTGCGAATCAAAGATATGTTTTACAAAATGAAATGAAATAGGGTTTAGCATCCTACTGTTTTGCTCCTAAACTGGAATAATGAACACTGGCAAACGTCGTGTAGTGTACTATGAGGGGTATTTTGCCTAGACAGCGGCGCTACGGCCTACTCTTATATCGAATTCCAACCGTGAAGAGTTCCTTTACGTGCACGTCAGTGTGTACACAGAACTTCGGTTTTTCGTGAGATGTTTCCAGTCCGTTTTCGTATTTTTATTAAATTTAATTTATTAAAATCATTCCATTTCAAAGACAAATTTTGATAAAATATAGGTCGTATATAGTTTTCGGTTTCAGAATATGAATAAACTTGCTACTTGCAATCATCATTGTACAGAATATATACATTGTGTATTTTAATGACGCACAGTAATCTGTTTAAACATAAACACTAAAAAACAGTTAAATCAAATATTGATTATACATAAACAGATTTGTCAATATGACTTGTATATTTTATTGAATAGTTTATATCATACGATATATTGAAATTAATATGTTGAAATATGGTATATGTATATAGAAATATTGAAAAGCAATGTGGGGGGCAAGGGGGCAGCTACGCGCCCCCTGGGCGCCGAACCGCGCCCTACCCATTGGACGCAATGCGTAGGCAACGACCAACGTGTCCACATCAGTTTGGGCGTCCCATAAAACCGAGGGACATTGGTTGGGCTGACCCCCTTGGCTACGGACCTGAATTAATCTCAGATTTATAAAACTGCTTTTGGATCAAATATCTCAATAAATAAGGTTGGGCCGGCAGTTATGTGGTGATAAAATAAAGCATTACTTATATCTTGCACGACACACAAAAGATTTGGCTAATGAAGACTGGCATACGCCATACAGTGTGCTGTGAGGGAAATGTTGCCCAGACAGCGGCACTACGGCCTACTGTTTTATCGAATTCCAACTGCCAAGGATTTCTTTAACGTGCACACCAATGTGTACCTGGCATCTCCCATCCGAACGACAATACGTTGTCCCTCGGCACTGCACCTCTGACAAGGAGGAACCACGCCGGAAAATACCGATGAACTTTCTAGGCCAGTGCGGTGATCGAAGACGGAACTTCCGGGTTAGGGACCCAACGACTTACCCACTGAGCCACAGGGGCTCCCTTGCACGACACTCTTTATAAGTAAATAAAGGCAAACACGAATTATTTACTCTAGAAGCGATACAAATACATTGTCAAGAATGAAAAAGCATGTCATGTTTCGTACATTGCACCCATTATACAATGTAATAGAGTCTTTACTGCACCCCTGGAACCTAACCTCCGTATGCTGCTAGGTGGCGCTCTGTGATGATGTAGTCGATTATATCTCGGATGTTGGACATTAGGGCAAATTGTACACATTCTTTCTATAAGCAGTTGGGGATCACGTGGCTAAGTGGGTAAGACGCTGGCTCGCTAGCCTGCAGGTCGGGTGTTCGATCCCTGCATTGGCCGAGAAAGGTCATCCAGATTTTCCGGCGTGGGTTCCCCTTGTCAGTGATGCAGGACGGAGGGCCTGACAAGGACAACTGTCTAGTCGTTCGGATGGGACGAAAACCCGAGGTCCCGAGTACACATTGACGTGCACGTAGTTGGAATTCGATATAAGAGTAGGCTGTGGCGAGGCTACCCGGGCAAAGGTTCCCTCATAGCACACTGTATGGTGTATGCCCGTCTTCATGAGCCCAGTCGCAGCAGAACAGTAGGACGTTAAACCCGATTTCTGTTACGTACATTATGGTTCTATTTTTTAAATTCAAATCTAAATGCTCAATTTTGAATTAAAGCGAGTGTCCGAAAAATGCAAATGTCGGTTATTAGCTGCTTTAATCATTGATCCTACTTTAATATTTGAACCTGGTCGTCTTGACAACATTCTCATTACCAAGTAGTTTTGAATTGGATTAGAACCTAGCGATATCATCTCGTTATGATAATAATTACAGCGTTGTTGCCAAAACATCGCATCGTGTACTCTGGGATTCGGAACCATTTGACAGGATTATCCCATGATGAAGTTTATTTCAAGAAGTAAACGATATTGGATAGTTTATTGACTTTGCAATTTACCAATCCACTTTTTCTCTAAAAAGTCACGGACTATCTCAATATATTGATAAACTTATTCAACAAGTAAATACAATTTAGGCCGCCAGCTGTAAAGACAGTAAATACAGCTCAATGGAATGGAAATTGAAATACAATAATAAAACAAAATTTGCATTGATATCTGTAGAATATGAACCAAATATAGGAAGTGGTATTCGAGTAAGCATACTTTGCTCGTGCACAACTGTAACTAATGACGATTATATTTATGTATTTATTTATTTATTTAATCGTCGTTATTTCTATAGTAAATTTATTTATTTATTTAATCTTTGTTATATCTATAGTAAATTTATTTATTTATTTATTTTATTAATTAATCGTCCTTATTTCTATAGTAAATTTATTTATTTATTTAATCATCGCTATTTCTATAGTAAATTTATGTATTTATTTATTTAATCATTGTTATATCTATAGTAAATAAATTATTTATTTATTTTATTAATTAATCGTCGTTATTTATTTATTTATTTATTATTTAATCGTCGTTATTTCTATAGTAAATTTATTTATTTATTTAATTAATTAATCGTCGTGATTTCTATAGTAAATAAAAGCAATCGTTTATTTATTTATTGTATTAAGCGTCGTTCTATGATTTATTTATTATATTTTTTATTTATTGATTTACACCATAGCTAACATACAGTAATACTGCTTTATCTATATAATATTATTTGAAATTGTACATATATTATACACCCTACTCACAAGGACGAAAATGAATATCAGTCACTTTGGCTTGTTTTTGTATCCTATTCTTTATGACCTTAAATTTTACAATATCTTACATAGTGTTTTTAGCGACTACTGTATCTTTAATTGATATTATTGGAGCGATAGTTTTAACGCTTATCCTTTCTAGAACATATTATTCTCGTGAGAAATTCTTACAACAGCTGGTAATACCTCGTTGTTTCGTATCATTCAGTAGTCGAACTACATTGTAGTTATTGTAGACACATTTAACAGGCGAGAGAGTCACTATGGTTAGGTGTGTGTGGCCCTGGTTGTCTAGACGGGAGGTACAGGAAAACGCTAGATCGAAGACGGTCTAGCACTAATGACGTCACATGTGGATTGTGGGGAGGGTAAGGTTTAGGGCTAGGGTTAGGGCTAGCGTTAACCCTGTTTTCATCTCGAGACCTTGACGAAATCTGCAGCCATAACCCTAACCCACACTCCACATATGACGTCATAGGCGCTAGACAGTCTCGGATCTAACGGTCCTGAATTCACAAAACATTCTCAGACTTAAAGATACATTAGTTAAGAATTTTATAAAGAGTTGGCCATTCTTGCTATAATAATTCAAAAATAGATGATAAAAAAAGAAAATGTTGAAAATTTCAGTCAAATTACTTGACAGGCTTTTCATCACCAGTTTCCGGTTGTGACATCAGCAAGTAACGGGAAACGTTAGCTTGGTCCGCCATTTATTGATTTAATTTTAAATGGACGAGGCTGTTTTAATCCAAACCGTATCTAAGCCATTCGTGGGTCTACAGAATTGATTTTAAACTTGTCGTGTAATTAAAGGTCTAATTAATAATTTCTATAACATCTGAAGCCGAAAAAAAGACATGCGATAGGCAGATTTAGCTGTTGCATAATGTATGTTTAAGTTAAGAATTTACACAAAATTGTTCACCTTAAGTTAAGAATTTACACAAAATGGTTCATCTTATTTTAATTATTGATATAGCCCTTTATATAGTCCCGAGTTCACAAAACATTCTCAGACTTAAGTTAAAAATTTACACAAAATTGTTCACCTTATTATAACTATGAATGATATAGCCCTTTATAAAACAATGTGGTTTTTAATGTATCAAATACATCAATCAGAAACTATGTGCAAAGTTTTGTGTTTGTGGATCAAAGACATTTCTCATGAACAGTGATTGAAAGTTGGGTAATGCTTTATGAACTCGGGGCTAGATTTTTTAACACTTATAGTCTATATCCGGTTCTTATTAGCCCCGATAGAGCAGAAAAATAGGACGTTAAACTCTACTTAATATTATATAAAGTACATACATATAGATTAGTGTTCAATATATATTGAACATGTATTGGGTGACAGGTGTCACTAGTTGAAAAATCGAACCAAAATATTCAGTAATTCTGATATATAGATCTGTTTGGGTTTTTACTGATCGAGATCGTCAATAAAACAGCCACATGCAATTACTAACATTTTGTGAAATCACTGTTATCAATCATCGACCTTCCACTTTATTTCAGTGTCGAGGACTTCGGTGCATACAGTTGACACTGTGGATAACCATTCTCGTGTAATAATTAGATGCGATGATACAGATGTCATTCTTCTGTGGTTACTACTGTACCACCAACAAGATCAACATTGATACCTGACAATGAAAGAAAATAACTAATAAACAAAGATTTAGAGCTAAATCGCTAATATTTGGGACCTAGAAATTGACCCAAATGGGTCGCAACGCTTTATATAAACTGATTTACATTCAATTGTTTCCGTTTTGACTCTAATTTCAAATCAGTTATGTCCAGCGAAATACAGCATGAGTCTTAACCGAAAAGAAATTTCTAGCGTCTGGTTATTCCAGTCTATCGCGCATGCTTTCCAGATAAAATATGGCGTCGCGGTTTGACATGAGTAACTGAATATGTCTAGCCTCGCTCTTTCTGGTCATTTGTTGCAAATGACTCTTAAACGCACTATGGTAAACGATTCGTGTACCAATGATAAAATGTTTATTTTGTCTTAAATATTGGATATCAGAAGCCTGCCCTTTCCTGGTAACATCATAACATCAATGTTGATTTGAATTGACAAATAATTCGTATTTTCAACGTGTAAGACTTTGGATGATATTGAGTTAAAGACTTGGCTACTTTAATCCTGTTCATGATATTTCAACATGTCTGGGAGAAATTGTCAGCCTATGTTTACCTGCAGTACATCCGTTGTCTGATTGTGACAAAACAATTTCTTTCTACTAAATTGGAAAACGGGCAAAATTTACAAAAATATATTAATTAACTTATGGTATAATGCTCTCTGTAAGAAGTTTAGCGCTTCTTTTAATGGACACATTATGGACACATTGGCGGTCACTCTTCCCTGACCAGACGACGTCTTCCACAAACACACCAGACATACTCGGTGCTACGTCATGATGTGAAACCGAATAACCTGAATCCAACTTATCATGGGTGGCGAAGAAATGGTGATGGTGTATACCTGTTCTACTTGAGAAGGTCTCTGCGAATATATTTTACTGTGATTCGCGTTTACGTTAGATTCATCCTCTAAACTGTTTCCCAATTCCCGCCGCCCCACTGACAAAAATCTAGCCACCACACTTGTATTGTTAATCCCTCTAAGGGCACTCAAGTCAGCCGCGGGGGGCAGGGGTAGTGAGCTAGAAAAGGTGCGTTTCTCAGTCCAGAGCTACGTGCGCCCTAGCGACCACCAGAGCAGAAAGAGTTCAAAGACAGGTGCAACGCCCCTAGAGACGCACCCCTCGTAACTACAGCCGAGAAGAGCATACTCTGTTTGTGTACGGTAACTTTAACACTTATCATTTCAAATAAATGGACATTAATTACATTTGGATTCGTGACTTAAAATGAATTATAATTATGTAAGATTATGACTGTTTGAAAAAGTAGTGTATACGTTTTTTATCGTCTCGATTATCCAATTAATCACAATTTGTTTAAATCGGTGCTGGGTGTGCATCTGCTAGTACTATATAATACACAACAAACCTTAGTGGACCTAGCAATAATCAGTATAATATTCCTTTCATTCTTGAAACTTTTTCTAGTTTCAAATGTAAATAAAGTTGATATTTACAGTTGTGGTGGTTTGTTTAAATCGGATATTGTTACATAAGCTCTGTAACAGAGTGGTTACAGAAGCACTACAACAGAGTGTTCCATATGCTCTGTAACATAGTGTGAAATGAGCTATGTAGCATTGTGTTACATGAGCTCAGTAATAAAGTTTTTAATAAACTATCGTTAAAGAACTATTTTAGCGGTGACTCAGTGAGTAAGACTATGGCTCGTTAAGGAAAGTGTCTGGTCGGTCGGATGGGACGAAAACCCTTGTACACATTGGCGTGCACATAAAAGAGCCCCCCCCCCCAACATTTGGAATTAAAACAAAGGGGTAGGCGTTAAACCCGATTTCATTTCATTTCACTTAAACTCTAAACATTACACTGGTAAACCAATCTCAAAATCGCCGAAATACTGTGTAGACAAAAAAAAAAAAAAAATTTAAATATCGTGGAGATTTTAGATTTAACACATCATTTCAGTATATAATAAATCATGTATGAAGTGAAATGAAGTTAAATGAAATATTAGACATTAAAGGTTAAGTTCGACAATAGAGTTGTTAAAACTCTTCGCTAGATTACCTCCGTATAATGATCAAGCAAGTTTGATTACATTAAAGAAAACTCGTCCATTGCTTGGGTTTTATCTAAATCGAGATCCATATTCCCTTGAGTATTGTCCAGACCATTTCTCTTGATTACGCCTTTCTGACTGCGACAATGATATTATATAGAGCACGGTGTCCGTGACCTAAAAGTACTATTTGAGATTAAGTTATGTTATTGTCATTATCTAGGGAATTGATGTGGCTCAGGGGAAGGGTGACGACTCGCTAATCAAGGAGCGGGGTTTGATGGTTAGCACGTGCGCGCTCTATCATAAGGTCTGTCATTGAGTCAACAGGCGGGGTTTCGATTCCCCGGTTGTGCGTGATAAGGAGTAGGGTCGCTTGTCCAACCTCGTGGGTTTTCTCCGGGTCCTCCGGTATCCTCCCACTGCTACAGACCCCTACGCGCAAGCGAATTATTGAAATAAAATTGAACCATGTGTTAGGCCCGAAATGACCTACTTTGTATCGAGTGGACTTTAAGCCCCATTCTCTCTCTCTCTCCAGCTTGGTTTCATCTTCTCAATGATGTATCGGACAGGGGCCTGGCGAGATACGACATCTAGTCTATATATTGACATACATGTACACGAGTCTTTAACAGTTGGAATTCGAAAAAAGAGCAGGGGGTAGCTCTCCTGTCCGGCAACATTCTCCCATTGTACATTGCATGGCAAATGCCCGTCCTCATTAGCCCGTTTGAGGTAGGACATTTAAGTTCATGAGATTTCACTCAATATGTAAAAATAACAATCTGATTAAAATACAAATCTATATTTCGTTTCGTTTTTTTATACTTTCGATGGCCTACACTACATGAAGATCTAACCGGTTGTAGCGATAGGTCGCGTCAGAGGTCATTCGAGCGGCTTTTGACCCTAAGACGTCAGACATTTGATTAACCACCAATCAGCATTGATGTTCTTAGTTGATTACCCACAGTTCCGTGCAAAACACATCTAAAGCTCGCCGTAACAGACCTTTTCATTGGCTAATAGCTCACATCATTCAGAACACGTCAATGATAACAACTCTTCCAGATCCCAGTGTAGTAAAGACATGTAAAACGAAATTTTTAATTATAAAAACGAAACGAAATAGGATCTGTGTTTTAATCAGGTTATAAAATAGATATACTCATCAAAAAGCTTAATACCCAATCATGTCAGAATACAGGTCAGAATAAATGAAATGAAATGAAATGGGGTTTAACGTCCTACTGTTCTGTTCCTAACCTGGGCTAATGAAGACGGGCATACCAGGTCAGAATAAGAGTTTAAGGCCATAAAAAACCCTAACAAAAAGATAATAGAATAGTCAGAAAACGAGCAGAAAATTACCGTTAAATTATTTATACACTAGACATTTGTTTCTGATGAGGACTTCGCGTGAAATATTCTTATTATTGCAAAATAGTTCCCCCTCGATTGTTTTATTATTTCTATTCCAGATATTGATCTGATGAGAAGTTTTGTAAATCCTCCCCACTACAATGTCCAGGATTAATATATCCTTATGCAAGAGCTAAATCTGCCTATTGAAGGTCTTTCTTTAGGACTTATATTTGTTATATAAATTATTAATTACACATTTATTAACTTGCCAAGACCATAATCAACAGTCGATGCCATCGGAGGCTTTAGATTTTTAACGGATTTGAAAACGATTGACGGTTAATGATTTAATTAAAACAATAGCTAGTTTAGTGTTTTTTTACTGTCGTCACAACGGTAGCAATGACAATCGAGAATCATTTATTCTCCAAACAGTCCTAACGTCACTCAGAATGAAGTAATTTTCAAAATATTCCCTTTTCATTATTCAGTTCTTAACTATTATGGCGAATACTGACGGGTTTTTATCTAAATCTTAATTACATAATGCATTTTAATATACATGTATCTTTATGGATTTTCATGAGTTTCATAGCATAGAACACCTTTGTTAGTTTTGACTTTACCTGCGTTAGTAGAACATGCTCTTCCTCGATCGACTCGTTGACAAATTTCAGTATATATTTGGGTGTTTCGTTTTAAAAAAATGTTTACTTTGGAATTCCAAAAGCATCTGTTTTTTCATTTTTTTATTAACTTTTTTACAGGGTGATCTTGTGTGTTTTGTAATATTTGTGTACTATGACCCGCATACAAAAAGGCAGCAATTACACATTCATTGCATTCGCGACACACCGTACAATAATCAGTACCATATCAATGGTGCCATATCAGCGGATACTCCGAGGATGGAGAGGGATGGGGCGTGGTAATTTGCATGGCTGTCAGAATAATTTTACCGTGGTAGTCAAAATAAAATACTACGGACCAAGACAGAAACATCATTCAAAAAGTTTAAAACGGAAGTAGAAGTTGCAGATAAAGGAAAAGCAATGAAATAGGGTTTAACGTCCAAAATGTCGATGAACTTTTTCAGCCAACCAACGCTACATCTTCTGTAAATACAATAAGCTGTTGACTAAATTAATCGTCTTCCGGTGCTGTGGCCATCCATTGACAGGCGACGAGGTCATCTGGATATCAGTGTCTATATGATGTTCTATGAGAAGTATGTGTGATTCTAACACCCAGTGATATATTAATAAACTGATTGATTGATTAATAGATCGGCTTATTAAACACACAAGTTGTCTAGACGTAAAGCCTGGGCAATCAAGCATAAAACAATCTAACAGCAAATCATCCAGACGTAAATAAGATTTGTATGACTTGTCGTTGTTGAAAGTAAAGTGATTTCCTTGTCCTGTCTGTTAGCTCATTAGATTAGACTTTGATATTATCTCGATATATTCATCATGTCTTTGATATGTAACAATAACATTTATATTCACATAGTACATTCCAATATCCAACATCTATTCCTAATACGTTTTCCACCTAGAAACCAGTCTCGACCAGGCTAATGTGGCAATTATTA